GTCATCTGTTTTTCTACTATGTAGAAATTTTTCTTTGTGGAGCGGAACAAAGTGCAAAGAGTCACAAGCAAATGAATTTCTTAGAACTGTGTCATTTTTGTCTGAGCCGTGGAACCTTGCATGAGGTTCTGGCGCCTCAGCTTCCTTTTTGTCTAAATGGGGATCACATTAGTTCCTAGTTCACAAGGTCGTTGGAAACCCATCCAGTTGCTTTGTAAACTGCAAGGTGACCCAAAGCCTTGATTTGTTCTAGAGCATTGGGTTGGCGGGGTGAGTATTGTCTGCAGGGCAGTTGAAAGAGACAGCCGCCCTGGCTAGGCCAGAGAACTCCGGCTGTGGGATTTGCTGGGATGTCCTAGATGTTGTCACAGGGGAATGGCAACACCTGTTTTCTGGGGACCTTAGGAGCTGACTTTGAGGTGACCACCTAGTATAACAGCCAGGATTCTCTTAGCTCGGGGTCATGCGCACTGGGTGATGTTTATCTCTCAGTTGCCAGTCACTGAGAAACCAAAAAAGTCTCCAGACATTGCCAGATGTCCCTTAGGGGATGGGGAAGCAAAATCACCCCTGATTGAGAACCACTGTTCTAGGTTGAAGGCATCCAAATGAGTCCCAGATCCCCAGGTACAAAACTAGCGAGGCAGAGAGATTAACAAGAGGCCACCAATTTTTATTCAGTTCAGCCTTGGATTGCACAGTCACATCTGAACCACAGGTTTCAGTGGAAAACATTCGGTTAAATAAGCACCGACAAAGATCAGCATATGAGAAAATGAAGGCAGTTGTAAATGCTCACAGAAGTGTGTGTTGCACTGCACCCTGGAGAGTCACAGTGGACAAGGGGATGCATGTCACAGGGGCTCCTTTCAAACTAGTCATTCTTTTGCCCTGTCTCCGAGAGTAGATTAAATCAAGCTGCTTCAGATTCTTCTGTGGGTGCAAAAACTTCCTGCCTCCTTTCCACTGGGTTCATTGGCTCCTCTGTAGTCCTGCCCCAGGTACCAGGCCTTTTCTGAAGATATGATATACCTGGACCTGCCTGCTTCCGGGCCTCCAGGGTGAAGGCAGGTAATGTGAATGGGTAAAGCAGGTGGAATAGGTGGCCTGCAGCTCCAGTCCATCATTCTCATTTGGGGTTGGAGGCCCAGTATTGCCAGAGCCTTTGATTTTAAGAGAAACCAGGAATCTAGATTATTTTACATGTAATTTGATTTTGAAATATTAGACAGTTAAATTAAAAATGTTAAAAACTGTAGGCCACCTCTGACTTAAACCTTTCTTTGGTTATATTCCTGTGTCTTCTCTCCAGCCAGAATGGCTTTGATTTGAACCCAGAGTAAGGTTTGCCCATCTGCCTCGCAGGAAAAAGGCCCCAGTAGTATGATAGAAATATCAGGCTGGGGGGTCTCAGGGCTCATCCTAACTTGTGCTTTCAGGGGAGCTCTTTGCCCAGGCTCCAGTGGATCAATTTCCTGGCACAGCCGTGGAGAGTGTGACAGATTCCAGCAGGTACTTCGTTATCCGCATTGAAGATGGAAATGGTACGCCAGGGGCTTGGTACTTCCTCCTCTTGTGAAAGGTTTCTCTGCCTCTGGAAGGTGAGACTGACCATGTGTTGTCCCCCAGGGCGACGGGCGTTTATTGGAATTGGCTTCGGGGACCGAGGTGATGCCTTTGACTTCAATGTTGCATTGCAGGACCATTTCAAGTGAGTGGTTCCAAGACACATATGCTCATGGCTCCTTTTCCCTGGACAGAATGGTTTCCCAGCTTAGGAGACCCAGCTGTGTGGTTTGTCTTCTAGCAGCGCTTCAGGAAAACCCACTTGTCTTTTGGGGCAACTAGCTTCTCCGCACTCTGCTAGTCCTCATCTCAGCTTTGAAATCACCTCCTTTTCCTGAGGCCCGACTCTACCACCCTAGTCAGCTGGCCCAGCCTTTGAGGGATCACATCTCTTCCCTTACCAGGCCCCAGAGCAGCCAGAGTCCTTGTCAGGCTCCTATGGCCTTTGGGGGCCTGTTCCTCTGTGATATAAGTGTGCTTGGATTCCCAGGCCACCCAACAGATGCCCTGTTGGTCCTTTCTGGAGCTAATAGGCAGGGCAGGAAAGGCTGCTTTCCTGCCATCTGCAGGCTTCCGCCTCTGGCTTCCAGCAAGTAGAGAGTGTGCAGCTGCTCACATGGGTGCCTGTGGCTCTTCCCTGTCCTGGTGCCCTTACCCCTTATGGAGGGTGGGAGACTTTTGTCCTTCCTGAGCATTTGTCTTGTCTCACCGTGTACCCTCTGAGCCTATGAGGCAGGGCTGGGGCCAGACCTCGTCTTAGCATTCATGCCAGGTGCTGGGGGTAGAGGGCCAGCTTCTTGGATCCACTGAAGACCAGTCTTAGGACCTCCTACATAAGTGATCTCATTTAATCGGTATGGCAGGCTTTAAGACATATAGAATGGTCCTTCCATTTTACTATTGAGGAAACTGATAAGCATGCAGCTAAAATGTCAGAGGCAGGATTTGAATTCGGGCCTAACTCCCAAGCCTGTATTCTTCCGCCACCTGATGCGACAAAGGTCTCATTCCAGACTGATGGCAGGTAGTGAAGTGAGTGTGCTAATGCAGGGCAGCTGGTCCCTTCCTCGCCTTTGTCTTTTTCTCCCCAGGTGGGTCAAGCAGCAGTGCGAATTTGCAAAACAAGCCCAGAACCCAGACCAAGGCCCCAAATTGGACCTAGGCTTCAAGGAAGGCCAGACCATCAAGCTCAACATTGCAGTGAGTACCACCCTCGCGTGGCTGTGTTGGCCACAGTCAGGTGATACCTGTGGCCACCACGCCAAGCCCAGCCCTGGGCCTATCACTCTTTCTTGGGGCAGAGCGGGTTCTCGCAGCTCAGCAGATGTTTATTGAGCAGCTGCCTTGCCCAGGTACCACATTGGGGGTGAACAAGAGGCCTCTGCTGTCCTGGAACTCAGAGTTGAGCGGTGATGGGCAAGTCAAGATGTGATTACAACATGGCAGAAGAGGTTCTGTGACCTAGGGATGTCCTTAGTGCTGAGTTCCTAGAGGAAAGGCATGCAGCCCAGAGTTAGGTAAACCAAGGAAGGCTTTCTGGAAGAAGTGACCTGTAAGGAAGAAAGGAAAGGTCAGAGGGTGGTTCAAACAAAGGAACAGCATGTGCAAAGCCTCTGAGTTGAGAAGGAATATCAGTCACTTGCTGCCACTGCCAATAGTTCTGTCCTGGCTGTTAGAGTGGAGGTCAGTGTCCACCCTAAGTTGCGTCTTGGCCTTGCGCCTTGAAAGGAAGATTTGGGAGTGCTGTGGGCAGGAAGGGATCAGAGTGGGCATGGGGAGTCGTGGGCAGCGTCTGCTGGTGGTGATGTTCTGGCTCCCTGTGTCTTCGTCCTGAGCTGCCCTGCCTCTGGCTTTCCCTGTTCGCTCCTGTGAGAGGAGGAAAAGGTCAGACTGGCTGGATTGCCAAGACTTGGCCTTCACCTTCTACGGGATGGAGTTGAACTGATTTGGGGGAACCAAAGACCAAATGGATTTTTTTTTAATGCCTACAACACCTGATATTCCAAGGTGGTCTCCCATCCAAGTACTAACCAGGCCCGACCCTGCTTAGCTTCCGAGATCAGATGAGATCGGGCACATTCAGGGTGGCATGGCCATAGTGGATTTGTTTTTTGACGAAAATAATGCTCTTCCTCTTTACTTACTATTTCTTTCTCCTCTTTTCTGCTTCATGCTAGTGATGATTTGGGACCTTGAAGTTGGCCAACTGGCCCTTAAGAGAAAAAGCAGGTCATACCCAGTGGACTGGTTGGGATGTGATTCTTTCTCTTGCTGGGAGGAAACTAACATTTACTGAGCATCAGCTGTGTGCCAGGTAGTGTTTCTCATATGAATTAAACATGCTCCCCTTTTACAGGTGAGGAAATTGAGGCTTGGAGAAGTTACGAGACTTGCCAGAGTCATAGAGCTAGAAATAACCGGCACAGCTGGACTCACATGGAGCTCTTTGGGAGCTTTTGACTTGGGGCTTAGTCTTAGCATTTGATTAAGCTGCTGCTCTCCTTAAGAGTAGAGAACCAGGTCATCTTCATCTTTGTAGCTGGTGCTGGTTTGTGGCTCATGCTTGGTGTTCAGGTTTTTATTCTCTTAGTATTTCATTGAAGTGTAATACGCATACAGGAGAGTGCACAAATTACAAATGCAGGACTCAGTGAATTTTTCAAAACTGAACTCACCCACAAGCTAAGCCCCAGCTCAAGAAGCAGATTAGCAGCTCTGTGGAAGCCGCTCTCTGCTCCTGTCCAGTAACTGCCTACCTCAGGTAACCACGGTCCTAACTCTGAATACCCTAGATTTTGTTTTCAGTTTTTGTTAATCGAATCATACACTTTCTACTCTTCTGTGTGATTTCTTTCTTTCGCTGGTGTAGTATTTGTGAGAGCATCCACGCCATTGCATGTAGTTCATTCATTCTCATCGCGGTGGCATATGCCATTGCGAGAATGTATCCAGTTATTTACCCATTTACCTGCTGGTGGGCGTTTGGGTGGTTTCCAGTGGGGGCTGTTACTAGCGCTGCTGTCAGCGTCCCAGCAAAGCGTCCCAGTGGCTTTCGGCGCGTGCACGTGTGCACTTCTCTTGGGTCTGTATCTAGGAGGGAAATTGCAGAGCCGTCAGTTCCTGTGTCCAGCTTTCTAGTTTCTTTCAAACCGTTTTTCAAAGTCATTTCTCCAGTTGACACTTCCAGCAGCAGTGTTTGGGTGTCCCGGTTGCTCCATACCCTTGTCAGTCCTTGATATTCTGTGTCTTAGCCATCCTGGTGGGCGTGTAATGGTATATCATTGTAGGTTTGGTGTGCATTTCCCTGATGATTAATGAAATCAGATGCTGGGTTTTAAAATTAAATGTATTCGTGATTGTTTTAGAACCGTGAGGCATTGAATACAGCTCGTAACAGTGAAAGCGCTGGATGGCTCTTGACCATCTTTTGGGCCCGGGGTCACCTCGGCCCTCTGCGTGGCCTTTCATGGTAGCAGTGGAAACTCCAACGGCACTGACTGGTTCACACTCCTCCCCTCCCTAGAACGTGAAGAAGAAGGAAGGAGCAGCTGGGACGCCCCGAGCCCGGCCCGCCAGCGCAGGAGGACTGAGCCTGCTGCCACCTCCCCCGGGGGGGAAAACCTCCACCCTGATCCCTCCCCCCGGCGAGCATTTGTCTGTGGGGGGATCCCTTGTCCAGCCAGCGGCTGCTCCCGGTTCAGGTCAGTGCTCAGGGGTGACCGTACTTGTTGCTAAGTCTGCACTGTGGGTTCCTCTTTCCTCCCGGCAGCTGGGGCCCCATGGCTGTCCCTCCTCTTGTATCCATCTGTCCTGTATGTGACAGACTGGAAGGTGAGCACCACAAAGCTGATCCTGCCCATACTAGGTAAGGGGTTGCTCTGCCCCCTGATGCCCACCACTTACCCCTTCAGCGATGGGCAGAGATTTCGACTCATTTGTTGCTGTGAAGTCAGCATGTAGGTTCCTGGTTCCCAGAGGCTGTGCAGTGGGTGTTTGAGTGAGTGGGTGATGGAGACACGCTCTCTGTTGTCAGGACGCTTCCCTCCCTTCCTGATGGTCCAGCCCAATGCACCTAGCCTTCCCCAGGCTCGGGGATTGTCAGCAGCCCACTTTCTCCACACAGCGCTCACCAGGTTCTTGGGGGCAGGTTCGAGGCAGGAAGCCTGCTTTTTTTCCATTTAAGGGCTATGGGCATTGGGTCCCCTATATGGAGATTGGGCTTCAAGCCTCAGCCACATGGGGAGCACCCCAGCCCAGGAGGGTGGCAAGAGTAGCAGGCAGCAGCTCCCCCTGCCCCTGCCCTAGGAATTATTCTTTAAACATTGGTTCTCAGAGCGAGGTCATAGGACCACCTGCCTGGGCATCACTTGGAGCGAGGGCAGGAATCTGCATTGTTAACATTTGTATGCTCCCTGAGGTTTGAGAGCCACTGTCTTAGCCCGTCTCGGCTGCTGGTGCATTTTTAACAGACAATATGGAGACCCTGCTGTGTGCCAGATGGCATTTTAGGCCCTGGGGATACTCCCAAGTATAGCACCAAGTCCTTGCTCTCAAAGGCTTATGTTCTAATATACAAGACAGACAATTAGCATGTCTACAAACAGAATGGTATCCGATGAGAGTCATAACTTGCTGATATTTATTGAGCACTTACTGTATACTCCAAAACCAGACTGGCTGAGTTCAAATTCTAGTTTACCACTTGCGTGATATTCATATAATTGCCACTTCTCTGTGCCTCAGTTTTCTCATCCGTAGGATGGGGGTAGTAATGATACTTACAATGTAAGTTTCTTGTGAGGATCAAACGAGGTCATCCACATATAGCCCTTATGAACGACACCCCAGAACATTGTTAAGTGCTCGCATTTGTTAGCCCTCGTTTTAATATTGTCATCATCATCATCAGTATGTGCTGAGCCTGTTCTAAGCATTCTACATAAATTCACATTTAAACCTCAGACAGGCCTATGAAATAGCCACTGTTCTTGTCTCCATTTTAGAGATAAGGAAACTGAAACTTAAGTGACCTGCATAAGTCCTGGCCTGTCCTCCCCCAGGGACTGTGCTGAGAGGTTCCAATGAGATAACAGACGTTAAGCATTTGGTGAACAGTAAAACTGAACCGTTGAGGGCTTGAGTTTTATCTGGTCTCCCAGTCCAGAGCAGATTAGAAATAGCTATTGTGTTGGAAGGCGGAGGGTGGCAGGCCAGGGCCTTCAAAGGGACAGCGGGCAGTACTAGGGGAGGTTCCAGAAAAGTACAAAAGCCAGCACTGCAATCCCATCATGCCACCAACCTTAGTGAAGAGCTACGCAGACACCAGCTTCCGTGGTACCTCTTCTGGAAGGCTTTCCCTGACCCCTAGCCAGTTTGGCTTCCAGGACTCGGGACGTCTGGCACATAATTTTCTTTGCTGGTTGACCTGGATACTGGACTGAGGGCTTTATACGAAGATGACCTTGCAGTTTGGGTGGGCATTCTCCATTCAAGAAGCCAGGGCAGGCGTTAGTAAATTTTAAACAGATTTCCAAGATAAACTGTTAAAAACAGGGTCAGCTTCAGGTATGTGTGATAGACGACATGTGACTCGCCCTCACGGGCACCTCTCCCCTCCACCTGTACGTGGCTTTCTCTGTTTTCTTGTGATTATGGTAGAAATGTGTGGCACCTTGTTGGTGTCTGTTGCCTAAAAGCACGTCTCTGAGTGTTGTGTTTCTCAGCCACCTGGAATCACGAGACTGATTTCAGGGTTACTGAGACAATCAGAAACAGAGCTATCTGACTCCTGTCTCCTCTTTCCTTCCCGCCCATCGGACTCGGGGACATCAACAGGAGGTGCCACTGTGTCCTGGCCGCAGCCCAAGCCTGCCAGTACTGCCACCGCCGACATCTGGGGAGACTTTACGAAATCCACAGGGTGAGGAGGGTCACATTCTCTGTGGCGGAACTTGGACCAGGGCTGTTTCTCTAGAAACCTAGGATCGCTCCAGGTGCCTCCCCTCTGATTGGACATCCACAGGCCAGCCAGAGGATAGAGCCCCAGAGTGCCTGCTCAGGTGACATGCTTCTCTCCGTGAAGGTTTCTGTTGCTCTCCACTGCAGGTGGTCTGGAGCCACCTCGTGCAACTATTTCTGGTCTTTAAACCACCTTAGCAAGTGCTTCGGCTTGTCCCCAGCACCTCCCTCTTCCTCCCCTGCCCCCAGCTACCTCAGAACACGGGGCTGAGAGTTAATCTGGGTTCTGGCCTTGGCTCATCCTCATGAGTCCTTTGAGACAAGGTCTCTTGCCTTCTCTGGCTCCATACAATTTTAAGTCTTTTACCTGGGGTCAGTGTGAAAAGATGATAAAATCCTGTTACTGCATTGTTTATGTGGACAGGCTCTAGGATGAGTCAGCACACATTCTATAAAGGACCAGATGGCAAATAGTTTAGACTTTGCAGGTCATATGGTCTCTGCTCCAACTACTCAGTTCCTCTGTTATGGCTCAGAAGCAGCCACAGACAATTTGTAAATGAATGGGTATAGCCGTGTACCAATAAAACTTTATTTACAAGAACAGGCAGAGGGCTAGATTTGGTCCCTGGGGCATAGTTTGCTGACCTCTGCTCTAGAATATTCCGGGGCTGACTTCTTGGAGCTCTTTCTGTTCAGAGAGTAGCCACCTATTATTTTCTTTTATTTTCAAGCATCTAAACCCTCCCATCTCTCTCTGTTTTCCCTTTATAGGTCGACTTCCAGCCAGACTCAGCCAGGCACAGGCTGGGTCCAGTTCTGACCCGAGCACAGCTCTTATCCTTACACAACTGCTGGAACGGAGCTGCTTCATCTGGGCCAAAGGAAGGAGGCCGAAGCACTCCCTGGCCAGCCCCTGTTTGGGGCACGACTCTCCTTTCCTCCTCGCCTGACTCTCTTGACAGACTGGGCATGGTGGGCAGTAAATTGGCACCATGTCACGCCGTTTCCTGGGATTCAAGTATGCAGCCAGAACACAGAAGAAGAGCTCCAGGATCCCTACCCTGTCTGTCCTCTTGACGTGAGACTCTGAGACTACTTTCATCACAATGACCCACATTAAACACAAGCCCCCAAAAGCAAACGAAGGGGTGGAGTGTGCTGCCTGGATTCGCATCAGCCCTTCTCACGTGATCACAGTTCACAAGGCGGGGCTTTCTGCACTCCCATTGGCTATGGGAGCTTCAGTCAAGGCAGCTTCAGAGGAGGGTTTCCTTCCTGATTTCTTGCAGGTTTATAGGCTGCAGCTTGAGCAGACAAATCAGAAGGGGAATTGAGATTGTTAACTCGCTTTTTAAAAACATTTAACATCTGCTTTGCTCATGTGCCCATCTGCCCTATACGCGTTCTCTCTGCTAAAGGGACGGTTCCTGCAGTATGCCCGATCGAGATCCTCTGAAAGCATTCCTCACTGTTGACCGCAGGCGCTGCTCTGCGCTTCAGGAAGCAGTGTTCACGTCAGCCACGTAGCCTGATTTCCATGCCTTGCAGGCCAAGTGGGCAGTGCAGGACCAAGGAAGGTGCTGGAAGCCAGGTGGACAGCGTCTGGGCAGGGAAGTGGAAGCTGTCCTCCCGGAGGCGGGGGTTCGGCCTTGCTGTCCACTGGCAGCTCTGGGCTCACAGACTCACTGTGCAGTTCCTGGTGGACTGGGGTTTTCTTGGGGATTTCTTAAGTGCCTTGTTTGCAGACAACCTCTCTCTCTTTTCCTTCAGGGATTGTACATGACAGACAGCTCTAAGTGAACTGGAGTCTGGGGTTGCCTGTATCACTGGTTTATAAGAAATCATTTTACCTTAGCACACGTCTAAAATTGCTTTTATCAACATTTTTTACCTCTTAATTGAAAGATTTCTGAAGAGTCGAGACGATGAACTGAAAAAAGTATTGGCCTTTTTGTGGGACCAGATTTCTAAGATTAAAAAATAAATATTTTTGCTTCTGTCAGTATATGTCAAAAATGAACATGTTTTTAGCAGCATAGCCCTTGAACCCTCCAGGATGTCACAACTAGACTCTCAGCCACCTCTTACCACTGATCGTGTGTACAGATTTAAATTCTGGGCCGTGGTGTAAGATTGGCCAAAATAAGGGAATTTGGCCCTGTTTCGGTCAGGCAACCAATAACTTCTGTACATCTAGAAGAGTACAGCCTCTCACCAGGACTTTCCTCTAGAAGCATCTCCCTAAATAGTAAGAGCGTATAGGCACACAGAGGCCAAAAAATGAAATTAAAAAGGCCACGGCAGTCCTCTTGCCTGAGGGTCCTGTAAGAAAGCTGCAGTGGTTATTGTTGGTTATAGAAATAAGCACTCTTGCTAGTAAACAGTGGATCCTTGTGCCCATTGAATTAGGGATGAGGAAATTGCGTCAAGATTCCTAGGAAGAGGAAGTTTTTTATTTCTTATTACTTTCCATATTCTTTCTAAGTGCTTGGAATCTGGAAATGAGGAAGCTTAGACTTAGAGAAATCCCTTAACTAGAAGTATATATTATTAGAGCTAAGCATTTGGGTTCTTGAGATAGACCTGGGCTTGGGATCTAGGCTGTCTCCTGGTTAGATGTATGACCGCAGGCTCCTTCTTAATGCAGGTGTCACTCAGATGAGACATACAAAGCGCTAGCAAGTGCCCATCCTGTAGTTTGACTTTAATCAGTTAACTACAGTCAGGTAACATACCCATTACTCAAGATGATGATGAGGCACTGATGAGGAAACAGCCATCAAGAATCAAACACGAAAAGTCTGAGGGGGCAAGGGACAGTGGTACTGTCCATCACCAACTAGAATCCCAAGTGAAAAAAACTGCTACGGGACCAGGGTCCCTAGGAACAGCCCCCCATACCAGACCCAGCATCTCTTCACCTTTGCCAGCAGTTTCCAAATTGGGGGAGGGGGGGCAGTTCTCTGTACAGTGGGAGGATTTGGATACTCAGGTGTGGCAGACAGACTTCAACCAAGGTGGCCTCCACAATCCCCACCTCCTGGTGTTCATACCCTTGTGTAATCCCCTCCTTTGTAGGCTAGACCTATGACTTCTAACCAATACAAAAAGGCAAAGATGACAAGGTGTTGCTTCCATAATTACATGAGATCGCAACATCTGTCTTGCTGCCTTTAAAGAAGCAAGCTACCATGTTGTGTAATCTGCCCTAATCGGAGGGTCAAGGAGCAGGAGCAGGCTGACAGCCAGCCAGAAGCTGAGGCTCTTAGTCCAGCAGTCCGAAGGGAACCAAATGCTGCCCAAAACCACGTGACCTGGAAGCTGATCCTTCCCCAGTTGATCCTTCAGATGAGCCCCCGCCCTGGCCAACACCTTGACTGCAACTGCAGAGGACCCAGCTAAACAGTGCCCAGAATCCTGAGCCATAGGAACTGAGGTAGTTAATGAGTTGCTTTAAACTGCTCAATCTGTGGTAATATTGTTCTGCAGCAATAAGTAACTAATACAAGAAGTGAGTGAAGGGTATTTGAGGTGGGAGTCAGTGCGAGAAAGGAATCTGGACAGATTTAATGGCTGTATGGCCTTGGGAGGTCACTTAACATATTTTGGGCCTTACTTTCCCCTTTATGTTGATAGTAGCTATTATGTAATGTTCACTCTGTGCTAGGCCCTGCTCTATACACTTAACATAAAACTCATCTGATCATACCAACAGCCTGACAAGGTAGGTTCTCATCCCAGTTTTACAGATGATGAGACTGAAGGACAGTGAGATTACATAATTTGCCCAAAGTCGCATAGTTGCTAAGTGGCAGAGCTGGTATTTGAAATCAGGCAGTCTGGCTCCAGCATCCATGCTTTTAATCAAGTCGATCTTGAGCAGTGCTGCCTACAGGGCTGGCACAAAGGCCTATTTAATATACGGAAGTTCCCATTCCATCCACGTGGATTAAGAAAGACATAATATGGCAGGTATTGAATGCCAGGCCAAGTGAGGGGCTTTATTCCATAGGTGATTAGAAGCCACTGAAATGCATCATGGGCACACAGTAGGTGCTCAGTAGCTATTGACTGAGCAGGAAGTGACCGGAAGATACCATGCTCCATGGGCAGAATGGACTGGAGTAGGGAGAAGACCTGTGTTTCCACACTGCAACTTGAGTGCAGACAGATACTTCAAGGTTTTCTTCCTGATTACCGATGTGACGTAAATAAGAAAACAAAAACACAGATTATTAACAATCATCTGTAATATTCTCATAGCAAAAGATTAGAAGTAGCCTACAGTTCTGCATTTGTTTTCTACTGCTGTGTGACAGTCAACCCAAACAGCAGCTTAAAACAACACACATTTATTGTCTCTTCCGTTTCTGTGAGTCGGGAATCCAGGTGCTTCTCTGCATGCTGTTTCCACACCCCTCACAGGCTGCAGTCAAGGTATCTGCTGGGGCTGCAGTGTCATCTTACGGCTCAACAGGGGAAGATCCACTTCCGAGTTCACTCAGGTGGGAATTCCATTCCTTGTTGGCTGTTGGACAGAGGTCACTCATTTTCTGGCCATGTGGGCCTCTCCATAGCCCACAACTCGGCAGTTTGCTTCATCAAAGTGAGAAAGCAAGAGTGCCAGCAAGACGAGTCACAGCCTTAATCTGAGAAGCACATCCTGTCACCTTGGCTGGGTTCTACTGCATAGGAGCAAGTTGCAGGTCCGGCCCACACTCGGGTGAGGGGATTACACGGAGGTGTGGGCACCAGGGGAGGATCATGGAGCACCGTCTTAGAACTCCACTTCCCTATTAGTTTCCTGTGGCTACTGTAAGAAGTCACCACAAACTGGGGAGCTTAAAACAACAGAAATGTATTCTCTTCCAGTTCTGGTGGCCGGAAGTCTGAAATTAAGATGTCAGTCATCAGGGCCATGCTCTTTCCAAAGGCTCTGACCAAGAATCTCTGCCTCTTCCGGTTTCACGTGGCCTTCTCCCTGTGTCTCTGTGTGTGTCCTCAACTCTTCTTGTAAGGACACCCTACACTGGGTTTAGGTAGATCCTAAATCCAGGATGATTTCATCTCAAAATCCTTAACTAATTACATCTGCAAAGGTCCTATTCCCAAGCGAGGTCACATTCATAGGTATTGGGGGTTAGGACTTGAACATATCTTTTCGGGGGACACGATACAACTCACTACAGTCTACCCACTACAATGCCATCACTAAGTGTTGGGTCATACACATTGGGGGACATCTGTACACTGGAATACGAAGTCCTTGGCAGGGGAGGTACAAAGAATAAAAAAGCGCTTTATATTCTGACAAGGCATGGTTGCTAAGCTATATCCAGGACAGGCAGCAAGGGACAGAATAAGGTAGATATAATATGTTCTCTTTTCATAAAAAATGGGAAGGGAAAAATACTTACTTTACATAAAATATCTGGAAAAATATACAGGAAACAGCACCTCACAGGTTGCCTGCAGGGTGAGATGGGGTGACTGGGAGATAGTGATGGGAGAAATACTTCTTATAACTTTCTTTACTATTTGAATTGGAACCATGTAAATGTATCATCTTTTCAAAGAATGAAAGAAAATCTACATTTGAAAGGTCATCCGTCATACCAACACCCAAAGGTATATAGCATGGTAAACATTTTAGTGACTTCTCATCTTTTTCCTATTATATCCATATATAAGAAATAACTATTACAAAACAAATATTTTTTCTTTTACGAAGATGGGCTTATTTTGTCCTACTGTTCTGAAGCCTTTCACTTAATATCTTTTCTCCAGTCACTGAATGTTCTTCTGTAACATTTTGAATGACTTCGTAGTATTCCATTAAATGAACAACCCCTGACATATGTGCAAGTCCCTTACGGATGGACATTTAGGTTTTTCTAATTTTTTGCTATTAAAGTCAGGCATGACAGACTTTTCAAGTTAACCAAACAATATTTAGCGAATCCAGTTAACTGTAACACCTGTTTCTGTGCCTCTTGGTT